GGGAGTCTGAGATCAAAGCAGTCCCAGATCTGATCATGTGGTCTGCAGCTCTGTGCACAACCTCATGAAACATAGAGCAATGGGAAAGCTGCATACCAAAACATACATAAACAATACAGTAAGCAAACAGAACCATATACAAACAAATTACTAGTCGAGTCTTGAAGAAGGTTGCTATTTCCAACATACGGCACTGTACTTCACCCATAACCAACTAATTTTCCCATTTTCCTTTCCAAACTAGCATAACATTCTGTATGCTAGAATATGCTGTGTCATCAACAAGTGCTCAGTGTTAACTCTACACCCAATGAGTATGGACAGTATGCCCTTGGTAATTCCTGGAGTTTGGTTCCCTGGACACCCCATGGATACCAAAATCCAGAGATGATGGTGATGATGATGATGATGATGATTATTATTATTATTATTACTACTACTACTACTATCATTATATTTATTTATACCCCACTTTATTTCTCCAAAGGGAACTCAAAGCGGCTTGATATAGTTCTACTATGTACAATGTCATCATAAATTGGCATCCCTATATAAAATGGCAAAATCAAGATTTCTTTTTTAGCTTTTAAAAATGTTCAAATAGTGGGTTGTTGATACAGAATTCATGGACATTGGCGGGGAGGGAATTATATACTGATTTTTTTCTGTATTCCTGCAAACCTTGGGGTCCCTTAAGTGGGCATCTCCCTCCCTCTTGATGAGCCCAATTTAAATCTAATTCTTTTGATACTCACTACTTAAATTCACTTTGAGAAGTTAGAATTTTGGTTTCCTTTGATACTCAACCAGAGAGTTCTGCTGGTCCATTTCCACTTGGGCTTTCCTTCCACTTCCATTTACAACTTCAAATTTGATATCCTGTTTAGCTGTGGGATGTACCCAGAATTCTCAGGAGTCAGGGTGGTGGTATTATGCAAGGAGATGCTGAATATCTCTTTCCACAATGACCCAAATATTCACACACAGCTATAATAGGAGGTTAGACTTTTGTGTATCGCTAACACAAACCCAATATATGGTTTTATGTCATCAAACTGTTAAATGCCGGTGACTTGAGTAATGTTGCTTAAATTCATTATTTTCAAGTAGTATTTTACTAATTGCTTTTAATGAACTGGTGTGTTACTAATGTATTTGTAGTGAATGTGTTATTAAGAAGTAATACTATCAGTTAATATTATAATTCCACTAACACCCAGTTAATAATAACGAATTAATTCATGGATTAACATTCATGAATTTTCTCCATCACTTATGTTCCCCACACTTCAATCTTTGCTGAACCTAAATTGCTAGAGTCTAGCTTGTGAAAATCAATGTACTTTAACATGAACTGCAGCATTGGTCTCAAAAGGACATGTACTGTTGTGTAGAGAAAGAGCATTTTATAGAAATTTGGGTGTTGGACGAAGAACATGGGAAATGAGGTCATGAAAACCTATTGGGTGAACTTGGACAAATCCTGTTCTGACCTGATTAAAATACTGTACCTAGATTTCCTTGGCAGAGGGCAGCGAGTGTTTAAGTGCCCAGGAAAAGTCAAATGGAGGAAACTGAACTTCACTAATTTCTTACAAAATAACTTGGTTGAAATCAATAGTTTTTTAATAGAAGCAGTGTAACTAAATGTAAGGTGTAGTTCATCCATAAACAAGCATCATTAGACTTGTTTGACTAACAGAGTCCTCATACATCAAATTTCACAAAGACTTCCTCAAACACAGTCCTTCTCAGTGGAGTCCATTAACAAATTCCATTGTGAATCATCAAGCATTGTGCAGCCCTTAATTCCTAAAATGTCTGTAGACAGTTATGTACAGTAGCTGCATGGGAGTGTATATATAGGAGAAATGAATGGGAAAATTAAGAAAAATTATTTTAAATGGATTTTTCAATCTAGAAATTGAAAGGTGTCTGTGTAAATTAGGAATAAAATATTCCCCCATCACTATCCTGCAGGTGCTCTGTTTCAACTGCTTTATTGTTGTTATTCATATTCATATTAATTTACTGACACAAAAACACAGTATGTCACAGCAAATGTGATATATATGCTGGATTTTGTATCACAAAATCACAAGTAGAATATTTCCCAAGTGTCTAGGACTGTGTGATGTATTTTCAAATGATGTGCACAGATTCAAGTAAGATGGCATTTTGCAGTTGACAGATTGCGATTTTGTCAATGTTTATTGTTTCCAAATGGCGGCTGAGATATTTTGGCACGGTATCCAGTGTGCCAATTACCACAGGGACCACCTGTACTGGTTTATGCCAGATCCTTTGAAGTTTGATTTTGAGGGGTTTTTTCCTGTTGTTTTCCTCAATGTGACTGTCACCTGGTATGGTGACATGAATAATCCGAACTTGTTTCTTTTCCACAATCGTGATGTCTGGTGTATTGTGTTCCAAAACTTTGTCAGTTTGGATTTGAAAGTCCCACAGTATTTTTGCATGTTCATTTTCCACTACATCTTTAGGTTTATGATCCCACCAGTTCTTCACTACTGGTAGGTGGTACTTGTGAAGTTCTAATTAATCATTTGGGCCACAGAGTTGTGCCTCTGTTTGTAGTCTGTCTGTGCGATTTTCTTGCAGTAGCTGAGGATATGATGAATGGTTTCATCAGCTTCCTTGCACAGTCTTTCCCATCACAATAGATCAGCACTGCTGGTTTGGATCCCGTCACCATAACACATTTCCTTTGCAGACCACGAAGCAAGATTCCACCCAATATGAAAAGAACATAGCAAGCAAAAGCAGATGGTGGTGGTGGTGATGCTCTTCTCCCTAGAGAGTTACCTTATACAGAATCATAGTTATAAAGTTATTTTATTTGACTACAGCTCTCAGAGCCTCACAGTCTGCACTAGGAATATGTTGTATAGTAGTTCAAAAGGTGATTGTTTCAGTCTCTGGGCCAATTTGTCATTTTCATTAGCTTTCCAAAAGAAAGTTGCTTTGCTATCCTGAAAGAATTCAGAGTCATCAGGAAGCTGTTGTACTTTCTTGGTCTTCTGAAGCACTTCATTCTTGGCCTTGAAGGCATGTAATGGCAAATGGGATGCTAATATGAGAAGCTACTGAATATATTGTAGTTTTATTGCAAAGTGAAAACAGATATTCTCTGAGAGTGGTTCCACATTACCACATTGTTTGTTTCTTTGTTTTCCTTTTTCTGGACCATATGATGTTTGAAGTTCAAAACAATCTGCATAATTTTCCACACATACCAATTTTATTGAAATTTTTCTGACAGTCACTCAGACCACATTTGGAAACTTGGAGGTCCTGTTAAAAAGCAGCCTTATATTATATCACAACAGTGGTTCATCAGGTGTATTAACATATATAGCAGATATATATGAAGATATATAAAGCAGCCCCATTGGCTGCCAATTTGCTTCCGGGTCCAATTCAAAATGCAGGTTATTACCTACAAAGCCCTATACAGCTCAGGTCCTGCCTATTTACATGACTGCATCTCTTCCTATGAACCTGTCCAGACTTCAAGATCAGCTGGGAGACCCTCTTCTCAATCCCACTTCCCTCATAGCTGTTACGCTTAAGTTGCTCTTTATGTGGGGTTATCTTGGGTTTTTATATTTGTATTTACTGTTATTGAGGCATTGAATATTTGCCTTTTTGTTTGTTGGAATCCACCCTGAGTCCCCCAGGGGAGATAGGGCAGAATATAAAGAAATTATTATTATTATTATTATTATTATTATTATTATTATTATTATTATTATTATTGTGAATGTGCAATCCTTCAGACATTGTTGGGCTGCAATTCCCATCATCCATTGCCAGCACAGACAATGGCGAGGGATGCTATGTGTTGTATTCCCACAAAATCCGTATGACTGCAAATCACCTACCCTAATCCATACTGACTCGTAGCAGTTCTCAAAGCTTTAGACAGAAGTATTTTCATCACCTGTCCAGAAATGTCAGGGTTTAATCTGAGAATTTTGTACATGAAGTATGTGTGGTGTTCCCCTTCTATACTGATTTAATTATGTAAACATTTGTTTGCCACGAACATTGTGAAAAAGGAGTATAACCTACCCAATCCAGCATAATCAAAGATGCTTCTAATTCCAAGTGTATCGTACACCTATAACAGTTTAATTTTCTCATTGGAATGCCATTGCTCTCACTTTTTTTACTAAGAAAGGAAGAAGAATCTTTCTGGAAACACAAGAAGTACAACAACATCTGGACCCCCTGCACATTTCTATCAAGGAGACATTTCAAATCTTGAAAAAATTACAATTTATGGCTACATTTCCCCAAAATGTTACAGCGTGGTTGGCTTGGCTATAGCATTTGGACATTTCCCACATGGTGCAACACAGCCAGAGGTTTATGGGAGCTGTAGTGCAAACGTTACTGAAGTAGTATTATTTAACAATAAATGCCTCATCAGAAACACCAAGAGAGGTGGTGCCCTGATGCTGGCAGAATGAGATCTTCACATCCTGTCTTTTATGTCACTGACTGTATTCTTCAGTGTGTGTGTGTGTTTTTTCATGTCAGGAATGCCTTGAGAAACTATAAGTCACTTCTGGTGTGAGAGAATTGGCTCTTTGCAAGGACGTTGCCCAGGAAACACTTGGATGTTTGATATTTTACTGTCCTGTGGGAGACTTCTCTCATGTCCTGAGATGGGAGCTCACCCTGCTCCCTGGATTTGAATTGCCAACCTGTTGGTCAGCAGTCCTGCTAGCACAAGGGTTTACCCAGTGCATCAATGGGGACTCCTAGTGTTAAAATATGAGGGGTTTTTTTTACTTCAGGCAGCCACTGAAAATCAAATGGGAGCAGTCCCACTCATATCCTTTTAAGTTTTTCAGTACTGGACAGAAGCTTTAAAATGATTGACTCAGGTTGTGTTACTCTGTGCTTTGAAACACACTGTCATTTTAATCAGTTGGCATTTGCCTCTTAATGCTTTTTCGTTCTCATTCCCACAGGACAAAACTTTGTTCCATCCGGTGAGCAGCAGCTGCATTGATTGCAACCCGGCAGAGAAGAAGATTTTCATGAACAGATGTGATCCTTTATCTGAAACTCAACAGTGGATTTTTGAGCATATTAATATGACTGTTTTAGAAAAATTTAACAGCAAGAAAAACAGCTCTTAGGGAGAAGAAAACAGACTGTTCTGTACAGATTGCAACCAACATTTTGGCCAGCATCTGGGTCAAAAAGAGTCAGAAGTTTCCGAAAGCCAGGAAATTTGTTCTGAAGATTAAGTAAATGCCAAGGAAGAAGCCAAATGGGCTGTCATTGCAGATGGACCATATCTGAAGAACTTGGCTAAGAACCTCGCCAGCTGCTGCTGAGGCCTTCTAGCTGACAATTTCCCTTGCTGGTCAAGGGGAAACTTTATTTAAAAAAGAAATGTTTCCAAACACTCTGTGTTAATAAAGTTAAACAAAGTTTTAGAGTTTCTCAGGTCAAACCCTGCTATAGTGAGTAGCTGCTATGAATAGTTGCTGTTACTTATGGGGGATATAAGGAGTGCATCAGCGCTATCGGAATCGTCATCCGCCACAGGTATAGAACTAGCAACATTTATGGGATGCCATTGCAATCCCAGAATTGTGAAGAAGAGGTGCCATTTCATTCCCTTGATGGAAGTTAGGTTCAGGACAGTTCTTTGAATAAAGGGTCATAAGAGATCATGTTAGGAAACCTCCCTACTCCGTTCCCGTCGCTGATCAAATGGGAATGGTTGGGGTGGGGGGGGAAATGTAAGAGTTATTTTAGAGTTACATTTTGAATGAAGCATGAAAATGACTGTAAGGCATCACACTCGTATTTTTCTTCTGCAGTTGAAGAAACAATAATTCCCATCAAAGTGATTAAATAAAATGTCCATTCCATGTTGAAGTGCTACCGAGCAACCATCCATAGTCATTCATATCTATCCAACCATCCTTGGAGGAATGGGCCAAAAAGAACCTGACTCAATGGCTACATCCTTATTCATCAGTAACAAGGGAATATGTTATTTATAAAAGCAGCACAATGCAAGATTTGCAGAAAGGATTTCCTCTCGGAAGTCTACATTTCTTTCCTGGCACCTTTTATTAAAAGACTTATAAGTAGATTTAGATCAATACATTCAGCAACAGAAGAGATATAATGAGTCTGACAAGATGGGCTTATGGCCAACGAAGGATGGGGATGCTGCTCTGAGCTAAAGGAGGCTGGCACTATCAGCATTAACCAGGAGCTGCAGGGATGGTAACAAAAGGCAAAATATGCAGCAAATGTTCAGGAGTTTCTATGACATTAGCTGGGCATTCTGTAGAGTAGGAACTGAAATGGTAAACCACTGCTGAAAGTTTCGGTAGTGTTATAAAGGCCAAAAAAGGGGGGTTAACATATAACTGTCTTCAACTTTTCTGTATTCAGGTTGTGCACATCCTAACTGCACTCTTCCGGTCTTTTCCAATGATTGTTTAAAGGTAATTCTTTCCTCAAACCAGCCTATTTTCCAGAACTATGTTTTATAATCAGTAGAATCCCATGGTGCATTTCCTGCTGGACTATATCATTGTAACCTATTGGTGAGGAAGCATGATGCTTGAATACGCCCTGATATCAGTGCAAAGTTAGACCAGGAGATAGAAGGAATGAAACCTACACTTTTGGGGTTGATGTTCATTTTGTTTCCTATCCAGGGAACATTTTATGTTTGTAAGAATTCATATCTACAGTCTCAATAATGAAGAATGATTATATCAAATCATTTCTGGCTATGTTGTCTAACACTGTCTTTTGAAACATGGGTGAGTTTATTGTGCAGACAAGTATTTAGATCTGCAAACTCAATTGATACAGAACAGTTACACCATGTGATATTTGTTTTCCGTGACTGCATGTTTTGTTTAAGCATGTTAATGAAGATTTGGATATATACTTGTAGATGTGGTAGGAAATAGAAAGTGTGGGTTATAACACAGTAAAATACACTTGTGAAACTGGCTTTACAGCCAGGTGAAATGCAAAGGTGGAAGAGAGCAATGGTACCATTATCAAGCCACTTTTGAGTAGTTCCAGTTCAAGATGGAATATTATGGTCATGAAAGTTCTTAAAAATCAGAAGAGCCTTCGTAATCTAAACACTGGTTTAAATTATTTGGCAATCTCTTTTTCTGCCTTGGCAGAGACAAATAAGCAGTCAACTATTCTAAAATTAAATCCATGCATCGATCAATTGTACTCGAATTCCAAAGCTGAAAGTTGAGCAAACCAAGTGTTCATATATTGCATTTGACTGATAAGTGAAATGTCATTTTCACTTTTCAATATGTCATGTAACAAATTAATTCTGAGCATCTGTTCATATTTTTTACTTTTATAATGCAGTGGAATGAAAATTTGTTTTGTATTGGTTTCTTAGCCATGTACTGTAGGGATGACTGTACCTATCTATAGAGCAGTAGTGTTATTGTTCTATAACCTGATCAAATTTTGCATGCAGTGTAGGATATATGAATTCCCAGGTTGCAAAGACAGAGCTACAGTGTTCCCTTCGCTAACCGCGGACTTGCTGTTTTGCGGCTTTTCAAAAAATTAATTTAAAATACAAGTAGCAAGGGAACACTGTATATAACAGACTTGAGTTGCAGAGTTACACACAGACTTCTTCCTCCGCGGCTGAAGAGGGCTGCCAAGGCAGCTTCCACTGGGGCCAGAGAGGGCCACCAAGGCAACTTCCGCCGGAGCTTCTTCCTGGTCGCTCTTCTTCAGATGACCGAGTGAGAGTCCCATGCCAGTGGGGAAGCAGGAGGGGGAGAGGGAATGGTGGCTCCAGCAAGGGGAGAGGGGAGGGAGGGAGGGGGAGAGGAGAGAAGAGGGAGAGAGGGAGAGAGGAGGAGGAGGAGAGAGAGGAGGAGGAGGAGGAGGAGAGAGGAGTAGGCAGAGCTATACTGTACATATACAGTATAGCGTCCCTACATCACAGTTTTTCAGTTATCGTGGGGGTTCCAGGAACCAAACCCCGCGATAGGTGAAGGAACACTGTATATGTGCCAAGTGGCCTGCCTTAAACTAGTATGCTGCCCTCAGTGATGCTCAAAGTCATTGTCCAATCAGCAGTGTTGAATTAAAATTCAACTGTCAATCCAGTTAACTTCTGTACATAGAACTGTATTGTAAGGAGTGTCATTTTGTCCTAAGCCTCTTGGACCGGTTGGGATCGTCACTCACTAGAACATTGGAGGAGGGTCACATGATGGTTATGACATTCAGGTGTGTGTGCTAGAATATAAACATCTTATGTGTTCTTCTCTGAGTTGGATGACCTATTTCACCATGAAAATGTTTTATTTCAAATCACCAATGAGATGAGTCAGGCTGCTGTTCAATACACACGATACTTACAGCAAGTCCAATGGCAGCTAAATAGTTTTACTCGGTGCAGAATTGATAAACCAAGCCTGCAACTTGCATAGCACTAAACTAAGATTTTGTGCAAAACTTTGAAATAGTATGGGTTTTAAAAGCAGTATAGAAGCTAAACTCTTGTTTTAAAAGCATCTTAGATACTCTCACTCTTCCTTAAACAAGGGGAATACTAACAGCAACATTAGAAATCTGGGATATGAATCATAGCATCTACTCTTCTATGAGGGAAATGAATAGATCTTCAGCTTGCACACTGCATGAAGAACTGGTAGCAGGGAAATGTTGAAGAATATAATTATTAGGAAAAGTCAAAATATTGAGATGTATGTCATTCTAATGCTTAGTAAATTACAAGATAGCAATCAGAGTGAGAAACAAAATGTGCATTAGCCTTCATAATTTGTCGACATTTCCTTTAAACCAGATGTTGGCAGCATAGGTTGAAAGATGGGGCCTTAGTTGTTTCTGAAGGTTTTTAATGTCAATGTCAATAGAAGCATTCTGCCAAAATGTACTGGTGCCATCAAAAATGACATCTTTCTTCCTTCTTCTTCTGGAGAACAGACCCTGCCATGGTCTTTTCAGGGCAGTCTTGAACTTGCTGGCAACACAAAGAACTGTTCTTTGTTTTTTATCATCATCATCATCATCATTTACACATTGAGAGCTGAATTTCAGTGGTGGTTGCTTCAGAAATTGCAAGAACCTTAGAAGAAGTGCAGCTCCTTGTGGTTAGGGGTTAGGAATAAATGCCATCTCCAACTAATTCCTAGTAGGCATCCAACATGGCTAAAAAAGCAATTGAGGATTTTCTTTCTGCCGTTCGCTGAGCAAAACCACATTGTCCTATGTCCTATCCCTTCCCCAACAGCTCTCAAACCCTAGAAGGGACTCAGTTCAGGAGAAGACAACTGAAAGTGCAGTCACAAATGGAGTGTAACCATCTTTTCTTCCTCTCAAAGCCCAGAGTAGCAGTCTCATCTGAATAATCAACACCCTCTCCTCCCAACCAAAAGACCATAACAGTGATTGTGTTTGGGAGTGGGAGGTGAATCTACTTCTAAAGAGTACAGAATACCTCACTTACCTTGTCCAGAAAAGTACACACATAAGGATGACACGAAGAAGAATCCAATCACTGGAAGATACCCACTAGGCATGGGCAATCCATGGTTCTAAATGGTTCTAAACTACTTACAAAAATAGGGAGTGCTGGTGTTTTGCTTCTACAGTGTTGCGAAGGTTCTGGTGGTGAAACTTTCAGAACTCTAACAAAACTTTCAAAACTTTCATTATTATTTCGTTATTGGCAATTTTAATGACAGAACCAATTAGGAACTGCCATTTATAATGAAATTTTGAAAGTTTTGTTAGAGTTCTGAAATTTTCACCACCAGAACTTTAGCAACACTGTAGAAGCAAAGCACCAGCACCCCCTAGTTTTGGAAGTACTTTGGAACTACTTAGAACCATGGATGGCCCATGCCTAATACTCATCACTGCTTTAAACTTGCATTTTCCGTTTTGGACATACCACCCAGAGTCCAATGCAGTGTTTGCCATGCTTAGGACTACTAAAGTCAAGGGAATTTAGCAAGCCTAATATGATACACTTTCTGTTATGAGAACTGTTTAAAATATCTAATGAACTTTTAAAATCTGTAATGTTTTATAAAACATTATGTTTCTCGTTTTCATTGTTTTTATATGCATAGAGTTGGATCAATAATTTTATTTTATATCAGTGCCTCCTGTTTGTCCCAAGATACCATCCAGGTTGAAAGACTAAAACTATGCCTTTACTGGAATCAGAACTACTTCAGAAACTGAGGTTTCCTTTCACTGTCTTTCAATAAAATGCTTCCAAGTTCAACAATATTAGCAGCTCTTTAATCTGGGCCAACGACTGATACAGCAAGGTAGTAATTTTGCTACACAGGTCACGGCATTGTAACAAGCTTCCCATTCTTATCGGTGAGGATCTGATTTTAGAGAAGCTGGCACGTGTTTCAAGACAATCCTTTTAGGACTACTATTGAGTGTCACGCTTGGATGAACAGTGAATCGCAGTTCGTTCGTATGCAATGTACAAATGGAATGTGCTAAGTCTGTGCGATGAGAGTTTATGTTGAAGAATTGTTATTAGTGTTTTAAAAATAGCTTCTCTTCAAATAGATAGACACTGATAAAAATTGCTATTGATTTCTTTGACAAGCTGACACTTGTGTATGAGTTCAGCAAAATGAATATGGGTGTTTTTTGTCTATTATAGAGTGGACAGATATCACCAACTGGATTGTGTTATATTTAATTGGCAGGTATACCACAGCAGGTGAAGGTTAATAAATAAGAGGCAGTATACATACCTGTTTAGCAGCAGTAGCCAGCTTAGTGAGGTTGTTTCTTGGGATAGGCAAGATGACAAAATTTCACAAGGCAGTATTTGAGGTTCTTCCTTTGTCCACTTGGCTGAAAATAAGCACATCTATAGCATATATAAGGTTGGTGGTTTGAATCTTGGAAGTAAAGTGAGCTCCCGCTATTAGCCCCAGCTTCTGCCAACCTAGCAGTTCGAAAACATGCAAATGTGAGTAGATCAATAGATACCACTGCAGCAGGAAAGTAATGGTGTTCCATGCAGTCATGATGGCCACATGACTTTGGAGGTGTCTATGGACAACATCAGCTCTTCGGCTTAGAAATGGAGATGAGCACCACCCCACAGAGTTGGACATGACTAGACTTAATGTCAGGGGAAACCTTTACCTTTACTATAGCATATATTCATATAGAAATGAATATAACATTCATTTTAAAGACAAGGTAATTTATGAAGGCTATAGTGAAGGGTGTCTCTTTGTTAGAGGATGGAAACTGAACTACAAGCATTTTGTTTGCTGTGGTTGCTTGCTATCTTGGACATGTATGTTAATACAGATCTAGCTAGGGAAAATAGCAAAGGAAATCTTGCTTGGGTAGCAGATGCCTAAGTATGCTTTTCACATCTGTTTCTAGAAAGAGGACAACACTTAGGTCATTTTTGAAAGCTGCTATCCCTTTCGAAAAAGGATTGTAAATATTCCAAATGGGCCTCCTCCTGGCCTCGGGCTCAAACATTGAATCACATCTTATAATAGCACAGTCTGGTCACAGTGTGGTAAAAAAAAAAGCAGCTTTAAAACGTTACGTACTTTGGCTTAACCCAGTGGAAAAATTGAGTGCAAAAAACGATGGGTACTTTCAAGATGCTGCTGATAGAAATTATAAATGCTGACATCAGTTTGCCAAGAAAATGATAATTACTGATATATAAAGTATCTTGTGTACTATGCATTATTT